ATTTTCTCCTTCACAGATGCTGCCAGACCTGCTGAGCTTTTCCAGCAACTTTGTTTTTGTTCCAGCTTGTTTCCAAGCCAGTTGAACCAGATAATATGCTGCCTGCGCCATAACAGAGTTGGCATAGGCACGCAGATGGAAGTGAGCAGCCCAAGATTTTAAAAGAAAGTTTAAAAAGGGCAGGAGGGGAAGCTACTATCCTCGGGTGGGGGAAGGTGGGGTTTGCCCCGCACATGTTGGGGCCATGCAGCCAAAACCCGCCATTTCTTCCTTTGCCAGCTGCTCTCCAAATCCCACCTCACAGATCCCTTCCTTGGGCTGATCAAACGCTCCCTTCCCAATGCCCCTGACTGACCAAATTCCTGGATCCAGTGAACCTTCTTTGCAATCCACCCGGCTCTCTGTGCAGTGCCCATTACTGAGCTCTTGGCACTACCGGGACTGCTGCTAACTAATCAGATTGGTCAATGGGTCCAGAGAGTGACACTTGCTCTCAGTGAGGGATAGACGTCCTATTCTCCATCAGTTCAGCTGCTCGCAGTATGGTTTGGGTGTGGGACAGGCTTCATCTCGGTGTTTCGGGATCCTGCTGACATTCCTTCCAGGGAAGGGCAGAATGGGGTGGTCGAGATTGTGAGCAGCTCCCCCACCCACCATACAATTCTGCCCACGGTGTCCAAAAGCACAGCTGCATGGGGAGCTATTGTAGAAACCTGGTCCTAAATTCATCGTAAATAGGCCATGCCATACGGTTGGGTTTGTAAGACTTTTGGGATTTTTTAGTATGTATCTGTTGACAGTGTGCCATAATCTACAAATGTGACGTGAGTTTGCAGTTATGTTAAGAAATTCCTGGGAAATACCTTTTCTATTGGTTGATGTATTAGCTGGCAGCTAAGAAATATTAGTCAATGTTGATTTTGGCTTGTTACAGTAAAAGTCATAATTTTGAAATCTTGTCATGAGATTTCACTGTGTTGGTCATTGAAAAGTCTGCATCTCTTTTTAAAGACGATCGCTATCTACAAAGCCCATCATGTGAGGCCACTACACACTTGTTCACGAAGGCTCTCTTCCCAAAAACATGTGGAGGTTGAGGCAACACAACTGTGATGGATAGATTTTTGCTGGGTAAGGGGATTAAGGGTAATAGAATCAAGGTAGGTTGATCGAGTCAAGAGATGGATTACCCACAGTCTGACAGAATCAAATAGAACAGGCTTGAGGGGCTGAATGGCCCCCTCCTGTTCCTATGGTACAACTGTATTGCAGTCCGGGATCCCAAAAAGGTTTGGCTACTTACCAGAAATATCTCTTTGAAACCACTGAATAATTCCCGGAGAACTTTCCTCATCTGCGGGACTAACTTAAATATGCGGAGCGGTCTCAGGCACCGAAGCATCATCAAGAGCTGTGCTCCAGATTTGGCGGGAACATTATGCGGCATCCACCACAGAAAGATCAAACTTTGCTTGAAACAAAAAATGCAAAGGAGAAGTAGCATTAAAACAAGACAATGTTCTTCATAGCAAGGCACAAACATAAAATTCTAAATGTCCAACAGCTGTGGACATGAATGCTAGAACCAATCCTGGAGCAATGGTGAGTGGGACCTTACAAGCACACTCAAATTCTCAGAGAAGCCACACTGGAAACGCAAATGTTACTTTTTACAGATACTGATAGATTGAATGTCCAGAACGGTAACAGGCGATTCAGCCCAATTCAGTTCATGTTGGCATTTATGTTCCGAATGAACCACCTCCCACCCTGCTTCATCTCGCCCAATCAACTTATCCCTCTATTCCCCTCTCCCTCGTGTATTTATCTAACCTACCCTGAATTACACCTGCACAATTTGTTGCAATTTCTCTGTGGTAGGGAGTTCCATGTTCTCACTATTCCCTGGGCAAACAATTTTCTACTGAATTCCCTATTTCATATTTGTACCCCTTAATTCAGATTTCTGTCATAGGTGGAAACATTTTCTCTCTGTCTGCTTTCATAATTTCAAAGACCTGTATCAGGTCATCACGAGAGGTTCTAAAGAAAAGTGCCCTTTACATAGTCTCACTCATTGTTACAACCACTCATCTTTGTGATTCATTTTTGTATCTTTTTAAGAAGCTCTACGTCTTTTTGTAATATGGACAGTAGAACTGCTCACAGAACACTGAGTCTGCACAGATCTTTGATTTGTCCTTTATTTCTATTCAGTTAACTTTTATCAGAACCAAGTTTGTTCACTGTGTATTTCTTGCTTCTTTGAGGTCTCAACAGATGGCCTTTGAAACTTTGCTTGTAATGAATGATACAGAAACTGAAAGGCTTACAAGGTAAATAAAGATGTCCATCACTCCTCCGAAATCCCTTATGACAGCAGTAGGTGTGAAGAATAGGCCGTCTGCCAAGATCTTTAGATTTAGCTCAATGCTCATGAAAATTACAAAGGCGTACTCAGCTATCTGGAACACAAAACACATCAATGAATATATAGGTACACAAAATAAAATGCAAATAATACTTCATCAAATAACGCCAGTTGCTCATCAGAAGGACATAAACATAAGATAATTGGCAAATATCTAAGGCTTGGAGGGGTTGGATGGTGGGGGGAAATGTTTTTTACGTAGCTAATTGCTACGATCTGGAATGCATTGCCTGAAAGAGCAGTGAAAGCAGATTCAACAGTAACTTTCAAATAGGGAATTGAATACATACTCGAAAATGAGAACATTTACAGGGCTATGTGGAAAGAACAGTGACGTGGGACTAAGTGGATAGCTCTATCATAGAGCTACTACAAGGTATGGTGGGCTGTTGTCCTCTTGTGCTGCAAGGTTTGGTGATATACAACTTTAAACCAAAACAACCTTACAATTTGTAAACAACTCAGGGATACCTTTAAAACTAAAATTACAATTAAAATTTGAATCTTGCATGTTTTAGAACAGGAAGCAATAACGATCATTACAGTTTTATGATTAGGTAATCAAAAAGAAAATTGAGGAGGCCAGTTGGAACAGATGGTTAAGGTACAGTGTGATTTGTCACACCTCACTAGGGACGTGTGCTGGAAATCAAACTCTGCTATTTCCAGAGCTATCACAAAATTTAAAAACTTTTAGCAAACAGGAACAGCGTCCCCCAATTTACCTGCTTGATAGATTCTGGTTGACAGAAAACACAGACTGAGTTTCTGTACTTAACAATAACAATTAGTTATTACAAATAAATAGATCCTAACCACAGGTAAACAACTACAAACTGTTGACATATAACTTTGAGCAAAAGCTCTAACTCCCTTCTAAAGGCCCCATACATATACAGACAAGACATGGATAGATGAAAAAAAAATTGGTATTATGGTAGGAAGGAAAAAAATACATTGGGAAAACAATTCAATTGCACCAATCGTCAGGATTCAGTTGAGGGATTCCCTTTGTTTCCCTGGTGCTTTATATAACTGACATTTTCTTCAGGTTATTTCACTTCTTAACAAGAGCAACTGATTCAGGGGAAAGAGAGCGAGAAACAGAGAGGGACCACCCAGAAGCTGGTCAGCTATGCAGCAGCCAATCAAACAGTTGTCAAGTTTATGGCCTTTGACATCCACAATGGGTTACAAAACAATGAGCAACTTGTTTCCAGTTGTATCTCACCCCCCACCCCGGCTCCTGGCCTATCTATAAACAGCTTCCCCCACTGCTTGAACAAAGCAGCGGTGTAAACTTTACCTACGATGCCTTGAAAAGTGCAGCATTCCCTCCCACAGTCCTCAGCCTACTTCTCCTCCTAAGTCCTACATGATATTAAGCAAGATGTCACCCTTAATGTAAAAACAAAGTATCAGTTGGGATTGGACTCACTCTTAGGTCTGTAAACTTCTTGAGTCCCATGATGATCCAAGATCTCTGTACTCCTCTTATTCCGGGCTCTGGTACATTGACAGATTCCATGGCTACACTGCTGGTGGTTGTGCCTTCAGTTGCCCTGCTCCTTGATTCTACAATTCTCTCCCTAAATATCTCTCTATCCCCCCTAGTTCTTTCTCTCGGTCTCTTCCCTTTTTTTTCCTTTCTCTCTCTCTTGCCTCTCTCCGGTTCTCTTTCTCAAAGCATTTGCTCATCTACCCTAACACCTCGTTGCATGGCTCAGGGTCATATTTTGCTTTATAATTTCCTGTGAAGAGCCTTTGGACATTTGACTATGTGACTGTGCTATACAAGGGAAAGTTGTTGTTGTTATTATTCATGAAACACTTGGGATTGCCCTGTGATTATGAAAGAGGCTGTGTAAATGGTCGCATATGTTCCAGAGTATATCTGATGGCCTAAGGAAGTTAAATGCATCAGGAATTGGGACATATTGATAAAAGCAAACTACTGCAGGTGCTGGAAATCTGAAATAAAAAGAACAGAAATTGCTGGGAATATTCACACATGTCTGGCAGCCTTTGTAGATAAAGTAGGCCATTTGGCCCCTCAAGCCTGCTGTATATCACTCAATAAGATCATGGCTGATCTGGTTGTGGACCCCTGTCTGTGCCCCATTAACCCTCAAGCCCCTTATCTTTAGGAACAGGAAACATCATTTCTTGGCTGCAGCAGTTTAACCCTAATAAAGGAAAGTGTAAGTTCTGGTTGTTTCACATTTTGTTGCACTTGGTTTTTATTTTATGTTAAATGAATTGCAGCGAGGACTACAACCCTTCAAATTTTCTGAATGACTTGCCTCAGGAAACCATAAACACAAATGGCAAATAAAAATGTGTCACAAATAGGATTATTCCAATTTTCATTTTATGGTTTGTACAGGAATTGATGAATAATTCACAATTAAATGGTTAGGTCAAACTGGTAAACAAAGGCACTGCACAGTCTTGATTTCAACCTTATAATGATCAGATTTAAGACACAAACTCAAAAAACTGCAAGGCTCATCATCAAATCTACCTCAACCCATTAAGTGCCCTACGAGGAAGGGATACTGATGTTATAAATGAAAAAAATCCATTATATTTCAATAGAAAATAACATGAGATCCATGTCAAGGCAGCTAAGCAACAGTAATATTTTATATGTTGTATATACACATATACATTTATATAGCACCTTTGATGTTACAAAACAAGGAGTGATTCTCACAAAAAAGTTTGACACTGAGCCACAGAAGGAAGTACCAAGTGAGGTGACCAAAAGCTTAGTGAAAGCAGTAGGATGTTACAGAGTATCTAAAGTGAGGACAGAGTGATCGAGAGGCTAGGGTCCAGACAGTAGAAGGCATGACCACCAGCAGTGCAGAAACTAAAACTGACAATGCACAAACAGCCAGGATTGGACATGTGCAGATATCTCAAAGGGTTACAGGGATGGAGTGAGCTAAATAAGTTGTAGAATGGATATTTATGTATATTTAGATTTTGGTTTTATTCTGCCTGAGTAAACCACATCAGAAATGCAACAGGTTCCAGGTAGGAGCTGCGAACCTTTCAGATTTGCTCTGGGGTCTCCAACATTAGAAGATTAATCTCCTGAGCCCTGTAGAAAAAGCTAACACTCAAGAGAAAAGAAAATTTAAAATATATTTGGAGACCAGGAGGCACAATATGTTTTACAGGGTGGGGCAGTTGGAGTTGTACAATCATGTGCATGGCCATCTCCGAGCTGAGGGAAAGTAACAAAGCTCTCAATCTTTAACCACACATCCACCCTCCACATTTGCCAACATTTCCAGCATTGGAAGATTGTCCGGGGCAATGAGCATTTTCAACGTTAAGTGTTATCTGTTTTTACACTGTTACTGGGTGGTTTCATGATTTTAACCCAGCGAGGTAATGGCGATATGTTTCCAAGTCAGAATAGCATGTGGCTTAGAGGAGTATTTGCAGCTGGTGGTGTTCCTGTGCATCTGCTGCCTTTGTCTTTCTGGATGATATAGGTCGTGGCTTTGGAAGATGCTGTCAGGGGGTCTTGGTGATTCTATACATTGCTGGCACTATGCACTGGTGGTAAAAGGAGTGAATGTTGAAAGTGGTAATTGGGTGCCAATCAAACTGGATGTTTTGTCCTGGATGGTACGCTTCTTGAATGTTGTTAGAGTTGCGCTTGTCCAGGCAAATGAAAAGTATGCCACCACATTCCTGACCTGTGCCTTGTTGATGATGCACAGACTTAGGGGAGTTAGTAAGGCAAGTTACTCACCGCAGAATTCCTTGCCTGACCTGCTGTTATAGCCACAGTATTTACATGGCTGATCTAGTTCAGTTTCTAGTCAATAGTAAACCCCAGGACGTTAATAGTGGGGAATTCAGCACTCGTAGTGCCACTGAATGTCAATGGGCGATGGTTAAATTCTCTCTTGTTGAAGATGATCATTGTTTCGCATTTTGGTGGTTAATAACATTCATGGCACACATCAGCCCAAGCATAGATATTTTCCAAGTTTTGCTGCATTTGAACACAAACTACTTTGCTATCTTAGCAGTTGTGAATGGTACTGAACATTGTGCGGCATAGTGGCACAGTGGTTAGCACTGCTGCGGTTGGGAACTGAGGGCAATTCTAGCCACGGGCGACTGTCTGTGTGGAGTTTGCACATTCTCCCCGTGTCTGCATGGGTTTCCTCCAGATGGTCTGGTTTCCTCCCACAGTCCAAAGATGTGCAGGTTAGGTGGATTGGACATGCTAAATTGTCCCATAGTGTCCAGGGATGTGCAGGCTAGGTGGGTTAGCCATGGGAGAAAACCCACGCAGGGGATAGGGGGGGCTCAGAAGATCTTTGAAAGATCATTGCAGACTTGAAGAACCAAATGGTCTCTTTCTGCACTGTAGGGATTCTATGATTCTATGAACTGATATCCTCCCATCTAACCTTATGATGATAGGAAGGCCATTGATGTAGCAGTTAATATTTAATAAATATTTAGCATTTATGTAGAACTTATCATAACCTCAAGACATTCCAGAGCGCTTTGCATCCAATAAAATTCACTTGAAGTAGTGTCACTGTTGAGACGTAGGAAATATTATGTACAGATTTGGTCACCCTGTTATAGGAAAGTCGTAGTTAAACTGGAAAGTGTGCAAAGAAGATTTATGAGGATGTTGTCAGGACTAGTAGGCCTGAGTTGTAGGGAGAGGTTGGCCAGGATAGGACTTAATAAAGAATAAAGAAAGTAGGAGAATGAGGAGTGACCTTATTGAGGTGCATAAAATCATGAGGGGCATAGATAGGATGAATGCATATAGATGGGGAATTGAAAACTAGAGGGCATAGGTTTAAGGTGGGAGGGAAAGATTTAAGAAGGTCCTGAAGGGTAACTTCTTCATGCAGAGAGTGGTGTGTATATGGAATGAGGTGCCAGAGAAGGAGGTTGAAGCAGGTACAATAATAACATATAAAAAACATTTGGATAGGTACATGGATGGGAAGGATTTAGAGGGATATGGAACTAGCTGAGTGGGCATCATGGTCAGCATGGACCAGTTTGGGTCAAAGGGTCTGTTTCCATGCTGTATTACTTCATGATTCTTAATTCAACAGGAAATTTGTGCACAGTAACAGTAAGCTCCCACAAACAACAATGAAATAATAATGACCAGACAATATTTTTGATGCTGATTAAAGGACAGGGAGAATTCTCCTGTTCTTCTTCAAAGTAGCACCATAGGATTTTTCTGTTCACTTGAGAGAGGAGAAGGGGCCTCAATTTAACATCTCAACCAAAAGAAAACAGCTCAGGGAGTGCAGCAGTCCTTTGGCACTGCAATGGGAGCACTAGCTTGGACTTTTCTCTGAATTGGGCCTGAACCCATGAATATCTGACTCAGAGGTGACAGCATCACCCACTGAAGCACAAATGGCACTGTTGACGTGATCGCTCCATTCAAACATGGCAAGAAAATGAGGAATGCACGGGTGGAAATGGAACACTCAATTTTAAATAAGACACTGAGTTGTTTCCATGGCACATAGTGACAGTAGGATGTTGACTAATTTAAGTGCAGACACATGACTGATGTAATGTTACCTGCAAAGTAGGTGTGTGCATAACTGTGGTAAAAGGTGTTTCAAACATCATGGATATGCACGAGCAGATTGTAACGACAATCATCACCCAGTCAAGATACGTGACTAATCCAAGTAAATCACTAGCAGACAGGAGAATAAAACAATTACTCTGTGAAGAACATGCTCAAGTCATTGCATTATTAACCAGAGGGGAGACACTGAAGCTAATTGGCAAAACAGCCAGAGACAAGATGAAGAGAAGATTGTTATATAACAATCAGAAATGATTCGGAATCAGCTGCCTAAAGGACTGTGGAGGCAAGTTCAACAGTAAGTTTGAAAAGGGAATTGGATTAAATACCTAAGGGGGAATATTGCTGGGTTATGTGGATGAACAGAGGAGAGGAACTAATTTCGATAGCTCTTTCAAGGAAACAAAAGCTGAATGACCTGCCTCACTGCTGTAATGTTTGAGGACATATTTTCTTTACCCATTTCGTTCTGAAAGCATGCACTCTCTCACTTGCTTGGGATAGGGATTAGCTCATGTACAGCCAGTGCTGCACTTTTCCAGGACTGGGAGTTTTGCGGAGTTATGGAAATGATCCCATTCCCAGAACGTGGCTTGGGAATCTGGTTTTGGAGAATGTGAGATTCCTCACCTCCAAGCTTAGGCCAGAGTGAGGGCCTCCTGAAAATTTCCAGTTAACTTTCATAGATTCTGACTTAGATTTCACACCATCTCAGTACATAATACATTATTGAGAGACAATGGCATAGTGGTAAACTAGAAGGCCAAGTTAACATTCTGGAGGTATGGGTTTAAATTCCACCAGGACAACTGGTGGAGTTTAAATTTCATTTAAAAACCTGGAATATAAAGCTGGTCTCAGTAATGTTGACCATGGCAACTATCAACAATTATTGTGAAAACTTATCTGGTTCACTCATGTTCTTGAGGGAGGGAAATCTGCTGTCCTCACCTGGTCTGGCCTACATGCAACTCCAGACTCAAAGTAAGGTGTTTGACTCTTGACTCCTGAACTCTGAACTCCATTCAGTTCCAGGGCATCTCGAGATGGTCACCAAAAACTGGCCTTGTCAACAGAGACCATCACGTAAGAAAATGATCATCACACTGTGACATGACTTACATGCAACACTGTTCGCATTAAGTAACAAGGTGAACAGAAACTAAAACTTACTACAATTGATGGTACTTGGTATTTTTTACTGCTCCTGTAATTGGATCAGTCTTGGATCTGTAAGATAAGAACTGAATTGTGACACATGAGACCAATGTTCCTCATATTTAAACTCCTCATCTTTATTTTCAAATCGCTCCAAAACTTCACCTTTCCCTGACTCTGTCATATCTTCCAATTCTGCAGCCCTCCAAGATTTCTATATCCCTTTTATCTGAATAAACTCCTTTGAAACATTTTGGGAGATTGTGCTATGTCAAAGGCACTCTATAAAACAAATTTCTTACCGATGCACAAGAAACAAAAGAGTAAGGTTTAGTGCCAACAGCAGAAATGAACAAGTCTTTCCCCTTAGTTTAAGTCCCAGTCATTTTACCCACTGACAGTCCTTTATAATCTGCTTAAAATTTTCTGATCAACTGTTCAGCCACATGTGAATGGAGTCTTTATGGAGGGTTCAGAAGAGATTTGCCAGGATGTTGCCAGGCATGGGAGGTTTGAGTTATAAAGAAAGGCTGGATAGGCTGGGACTTTTTTCACTGGAGTGTAAGAGGTTGAGAGGTGACCTTACACAGGCTTTATAAAATCATGAGGAGTATAGGTGGGGTTAATGGTAGGTGTCTTTTCCTTAGGGTGGGGGATTTCAAGAGTAGGGGCACATTTTCAAGGTGAGAGGAGAGAGATTTAAAAAAGACACGACGGGCAAATTTTTTTACACAGAGAGTAGTTCACATGAGGAATGAACTTCCTGAAGAAATGGTGGATGTAGGCACAGTTACAATGTTTAAAAGCACTTAGATAAATACATGAATAGGAAAGGTTTGGAGGGATATGGGCTGGGATCAGGAAGGTGGGATGAGTTTAGTTTGGGATAATGTTTGGCATGGACTGGTTAGACCAAAGGGTGTGTTGCATGCTGTGTGGCACTATAATAACCCCACAAAATTACAAAATCAAATAACACTTTGGCCCAGAAGTTGTTGGGCATATTACTGTGAGTACGAAGGAATTGGCATTCTTTCTGGCACTCTTTAGGCCATTTTTTTTTGCTCTGTAACTTATTAGGAGGGTAACAGTGCAGTGAGAGAAATGGGATTTCAGTCTGCCTCTTTAACCAACTGGGATTTAAAGAATTAGAAAGGAACAGAGAAAGGACATGGAGTGAAACTGGGTGAATTAGAGTAAATCAGGGATAGAAAGAGAAGAGGAAAAGAAAGAGCGGACTTACGTAGAGAGATAAATAGAGAGAGACAGAGAGAGAGAGAGAGAGAGAAATAAGTATTAGTCCTAACTTTGTGGTGTGGTTAATGTGTAATGCATGCACAAATGCAGAAAATTTCCCAAAGCTCATGGGGAGGATGAGGATGATTCGCTGTTTAGTGTCCGGTTGACAGTGGTGCTTACATTCTCCAGAGATCCTCCAGCAACTTGTGATGGTTCCCACTCAGCGTATCTCATTGTGGCGCAAGTTGGCTGGCTCTGTTTACGTATTGATCATGTAAGGGCCACTGAACTCACCTACTTCTAAAGAAGATTCTGGACACATAAAACCCAAGTGCAATAGAAAACGTTTTTGTCTGTCGAGAGAGACTTACGCATTAAATCGGGCCCTCACGACCAGGCGGCAGAATGTTCTAAACTTGTGCTCTCGACCAACTATAAAGAGAGGTTTGTCAAAATAAGGGTGATTTTCACGTAATTCTTCCTCTTGAACCTTGCTGAAGAGAGAGATAGGATGGGAACGTTTTAAATTAAGACGTTACTAAAATGCTTTCCAAAAGATAAAACAGAATTGAAAATGTTTGTGGAGAGCAGCAAAGTTACCGCTTCATTTCAGCTTGTTCCTTTTTTTCCTGAATCATCTTTATTTCACTGTCTTCCCTTTGAGCGTTTCGATATCGTACTGTGCTGGAGTGCTAGATAAGGTTAGGCAATTTTTATTTTGTGTACTGAGAGAAACATATTAACAAATATCCACCACAAAAGAAACCAGGTTTCTGTCAGTAATCGGGAACAGAATTTAAATTTCTGGGTAATAACTTACATTTGTAGGTACTAGTGCTTAAAATTAATAAGTGAGAGATTTGGACTAATAACCTGTACATAAGTTTTACCATTGCAGAAAATGACTTTAAATTCAGTTAATTAAAAATAAAACCTGAAATTAAAAAATCTACCATCACTAATGGCAACTGTTGTCATAAAAACTCATATGGTCCACTAATGTCTTCCTGGAAAGGGAATCTGCTGTCCTCATCCAACCTGGCCTAGAAATATTTCCAAACTGTTTGATAAGGTACCACACTTTAAGCTGCTTAATCAGATAAAAACCAATGGTGTTGGGATGGTGTGTTTGCATGGTTAGAGGGTTGGTTAACTAGGAGAGGACAGACAGTTGAGATAAGAAGGGCATTTTCAGAATGGTAATAGTAACTAGTGGAGTGCCAGAGAGATCAGTGCTAAGGCCACAATTACTTACAATATATATTAATGACTTGGATGAGGGAAGTGAATTTAATATAGACAAGTTTGTGGATGACACAAAAATAGATGGGAAGGCAAGTAATCATGATGATATAAAGATTTTACAGGGAAATATAGACAGATTAAGTGAATGGGCAAAAGCATGGCAGATGAAATACAATTGGGAAAATGTGAGATTATGTAATTTGGCAGGATATATAGAAGTGAATATTATTTAAATGGAGAAAGACTGCAGAAAGCTGAAAAACAGAAGGATTTGGAAGACTTCATGTAGAAATCATGAAATGCCAGTGCATAAGTTCAGCAGGTAATAGGGAAGGCCAATGGAAAATTAGCTTCTATTTCAAAGGAAATGGAATACAAATATAGGGAGATCTTGCTAAACCTGCATCAGTCACAAGTAAGACCACATCAAGAATACTGTGAGTAGTTTTTCTACCCTTATCTAAGCGAGGAAGTCCACAGAAGGTTCACTAGCTTGATCACAGGTTTAGGACAATTTTCTTAGGAGGCGAGGTTGAGTTAGTTGGTTCTGTGCTTACTGGAGTTTAGAAGAATAACAGGCAAAGTTACTGTAAGACTCTTACAGGCTTGACAGGGTAGATGCAGAGAGGTAGTTTCCTGTAGGAGAGTCTAGAAAATCTCAGAGTCAGAAGTCTCCCAAATAGGACAGAGATGAAGAGGAATTCATTCTCTTAGAGGGTAGCTAATGTGTGGAATTCTTAACTACAGGGGACTAATGAGGCTGGGTCATTAATTTTTTTTATTCACTCATGGGATGTAGGAATTGTTGTCTGGGCCAGCATTTATTGCGTATCCCTACTTGGCCTTGAGGTGTTGGTGAACTGCCTTCTTGAACTGCTGCAGTCCATGTGCTATAGGTAGACCCACAATGCCATTAGGGAGGGAATTCCAAGGGATTGACCCAGTGACACTGAAAGAAAGGCAATATACTTCCAAGCCAAGATTGTGAGTGGCTTGGAAAGGAACTTGTAGTTGGTCGTGTTCCCATGAATCTGTTGCTTTTGTCCTTCTAGATGGTAGTGGTTGTACTTTTGGAAGGTGCTATCTAAGGATCTTTGGTGAATTTGGTGACTTATATCAAGGCTGAGATAGACAGATTTTTAACCATTAAGGGAATTGAAGGCTACTGGGAAGAGGTAGCAAAGTGGAATTGGGGATAAAGAGATCAACATGATCTCTTTGAAAGGCGGAGCAGACTTGATGGGCCAATGGCCTACATCTTCCCCTACTCTTAACTGTTCTCTGAAATGGCTAAGCAAGCCACTCACTTCCATTCAAGAAGATGGCTCACCACTACCTGCTCAAGAGTAATTGGGGAAGAGCAGCATTTGGTCAGTGACACCAACAACTAAATACAAAGGGCACTGATCGAATATAACGGGCCAGATTTTACTGTCATGTGGATCTTACAGTGTCTGTCTTTTGAAATAAATACAGAAAATGGTGGAGAACCCTCAGCAGCTCAGGCAGCATTGAGCTGAAATTTTAAATCTGTTTCTCTCAGAAGAACATAAGAAATTGGAGCAGGAGAAGGTCATTTGGGCTTCTCAAGCCTGGCCCACTGATCAATAAGATCACAGTTGATCTGCCCAAGGCCTTAGTTCCTTTTGTGAGGCCAGCTCCTCATAGCTGTCAACTCCTCTTTAAGTACTTCCAGTGATCGAGCCTCCACAACTCTCTAGGGTAGAGAATTCCAGACATTCACTATCCTCCGGGAGGAGAAATTCCTTCACAGCTCTTATTCTGTAACTATGTCACTTAGTTTGAGATTTCTCCCACAAGAGTCATGGAGTCACAGAGACATACAGCACAGAAACAGACCTTTTGGTCCAACACGTCCACGCCGACCAGATATCCTATGTAAATCTAGTCCTATTTGCCAACATTTGGCCCATATCCCTCTAAACCCTTCCTATTCATATACCCACCCAGATGCCTTTTAAATGTTGTAATTGTACCAGCCTTCAGCACTTTCTCTGGCAGCTCATTTCATACACATGCCACCCTCTGCGTGAAAAAGTTGCCCCTTAGGTCCCATTTAAATCTTTCCCCTCTCACCTTAAACCTATGCCCTATAGTTTTGGACTCCCCCACCCTGGGGAAAAGACATTGTCTATTTACCCTATCAATGCCCCTCATGATTTTATAACCCTTTATAAGGTCACCCCGCAACCTCCGACGCTCCAGTGAAAATAGCCCCAGCCTATTCAGTCTCTCCGAATAGCTCAAACCCTCCAATCCTGGCAATATCCTTGTGAATCTTTTCTGAACCCTTTCAAGTTTCACAACATCCTTCCTATAGTAGGGAGACCAGAATTGCACGCAGTATTCCAATAGTGGCCTAACCAATGTCCTGTACAGCCACAACATGACCTCCCAACTCCTAAACTCAATGCACTGACCAATAAAAGCAAGCATACCAAATGCCTTCTTCACTATCCTATCTACCTGTGACTCCAATTTCAAGGAACTGTGAAGCTGTACTCCAGGGTCGATTTGTTCAGCAACACTCCCTAGGACCCTACCATTAAGTGTTTAAGTCCTGCCCTGATTTGCCTTTCCAAAATGCAGGACCTCACATTTATCTAAATTAAACTCCATCTGCCACTCCTCGGCCTATTGGCCCATCTGATCAGGATCCTGCTGTATTCTGAGGTAACCTTCTTCGCTGTCCACTACACCTCCAGTTTTGGTGTCATCTGCAAACTTACTAACCATAGCTCTGATGTTCACATCTAAACCATTTATATAAATGATGTAAGGCAGTGGACCCAGCGCCGATCATGGAAACATCTTCTCAATATTTACTTTTTCAAGCCCTGTCAGAATTATGTTTGTTTCAATAAGATCACCCTCATTCTTTTAAATGTAACGAATAAAAGGCTAGCCTATTTAACTATTCTTGATTGGTCAACCTCTTCATCCTAGAAATCAGCCTAGAGAATCTGTAGCCTTAGGAGCATCTTGTAAAACTGCAACAAGATTTCCCTATTTTTAAACTCCAACTTCTTTCTTAATTACTTGCTATATCTGCATGCTAACTTTTTGTGCTTCATGCACTTGAACACCCAGATACTTCTGCACTGCACCTTTTTCTTCTATCTCTCCACTTAAATAATAATCTACATTTTGAGTCTTCCTACCAAAGATGTCACACTTGAATTTCACCTCTCCATCGATGCTGCCTGAGTGTTCCTCTATCTTCAGTTTAGCATCTGCAGTACCTGAGTTAGCTGTTAACTTGCCTTTGTATTTTTAGGGTTTTAAACTTTATGGCACAACAAATTGCGAAAAGCACAAAGCTAATATTGCTACATTGAGGGAAATTTGAACAGACAGGGGAAGCAAATGTGAATCTCCTTGACCAAATTGTTGAATTGTGAAATTAACACTGCAAGGTCTGAGACAAAAGTGTCAATGAGATTGGGTGAATTCAATGCCATGTCAGGTGCAGGAAGAAATAAACACAGTGAAAAAAAGATTGGAGGAAATAAATAGAGAGAGAAAGGGAAGACAGAAACGTAAAATGCAATTTTAAAATTTTGTTTTACATTTTTTAAGTTTTCAACAATGATTAAAAGCTGAAAAATGATATTCCACACTTGTAACAGGCATTTTTCAGGGCCAGTAAGGGTTTTGAGATGTAATCAATACACATCACTCTGTTTAAAAGGACGTTTAAACTAAATAGACAGGGAACAACTCTTTCTGGTGAATACAGTCCATTTCTACAATATCAGTACGGGAAGTCTGTGCAGTTCAATACATTTCAATGGTGAGGCAGACAGCAAGATGACATTTTGGTGAAGATAGTGGTGAATCAGCACCTTTTGGATGTGAACTTCTGGATTTCTGTGTGCAACTGTGCCTCTGTCCTTGCCTGAAGCAATTGTTACCATTAATATACAGTGGGAGTCATTACCCTCAGTGTTATTTGACAGAAAAGTCTGGCCCATTCAATATCTTGTTATTGATATACACAATATTTATTTTCTGGTCTTGGACTCAAGCCATATCTTTGGTAGTCATGGAAACATGCTAGCAGCAGGAGAGGGTAAGCGCTAGCTATCACACCAAGGTTATTTTCTCACTCACATCTTGTGTCAGTGTTTCCAATGATTTCCCTCTGCTGATTCTCTGACTGCTTGAACCATGTCGGAGGGACCTGAAATGACAAGAACGATGATCAAAGCACTGTATTCAAATGAGCACCTTCCTTCACCCAGAAGTAAGGTGACTGATCAAAGCATGGAAATGAAAAGAAAATCGCAAAGATATTTGCAGATCCCTTATGTTACAAATGCTCGTGCATGTTAAATTTCTGACAGCAATTTGTGAAGGAGACCAAAAGTCAACTGTTGCTGAGTTTTAGATTTATTGACAAAGTGAGACATTACAAATGCATAACTGCTAACTCTACAGCCCTCCACCAATAGGTGCTTCTTTATACATGCATGTGTTATGATCCATTGAATGATGTCCTCCCCACCTATTATATACTTAACCTTAAATCATACAATTAACAGTGGGGGACACTCAGTAATGGACTACGAAGAGAGTATGTTTTTATACAAAAACCACATTTAAAAAAAGAAGGCGATTTTAATATAAGTGCCAATCTTAATAAAGATTCAGATGTGTGAAATGTTACATTTCAAAACTAATCTGTGAAGCGTCAATGTCGCCAGCAGTGTCCATTTGTTACATAAAATTGTTAGCTATCCTTCCAGTTTTCACAGTTCACAGTTCCCCAGATGATGCCCTGAAAGTGGGGATAGAGACTTTCATGATTGACATTTTGCATGCGTGTTACGTGGAAATTACAGGCCAGTGACCTAATGGTATTTTTGCTCGACTATTAATCCAGAGACCCAGGGTTCGAATCCCACCAGGGCAGATGGTTGAATCTCAGTTCAATAAAAGTCTGAAACTGAACGTCATCATCAAATGATGATCTTTTTGATTGCTGGAAAACCCTGTCTGGTTCACTGATGTCCTTCAGGGAAGGAAACTGCTGTCCTCACTTGATCTGGCCAAGTGACTCCAATTCCATTAAGATGTGGTTGAGTTTAAACTGCCCTCTAAGTGGCCTGGCAAGCCACTAATAGAGTCATACAGCATGGAAACAGACCCTTTGGTCCAACTTGTCTGCGCTGACCAGACATCCCAACCTGACCCAATCCCATTTGCCAGAATTTGGCCCATATCCCTCTAAACCCTTCCACTCATGTACCCATCCAAACGTCTTTCAAATGTTGTAATTGTACTAGCCTCCACCAATTCCCCTGGCAGCTTGTTTCATAAACGCACCACCCTCTGTGTGAAAAAGTTACCCCTCAGGTGCTTTTTAAATCTTTCCTCTCTCACCTTAAACCTATGCCCTCTAGTTTTGGACTACCTCACTGGAGGAAAAAGGCCTTGACTATTCATCCTATCCATGCTGTTCATGATTTTATAAACCTCTATAAGGTCACCTCTCAGCCTCTGACACTCCAGAGAAAAAAGTCCCAGCTTATTCAGCCTCTCCCTTTAACTCAAGTCCCTCCAACCTCGGCAACATCTTGGTTATTTTTTTCTGCACCCTCCCATGTTAAACAGTATCCTTTCCATAGAAGGGTGACCTGAATTATATGCAGCATTCCAAAAGTGGCCTGAGCAATCAAAGGTAACAATCGTGACAAAAAAACTCAGAAAAGAAATTAAACCAGATGGATCACCTGGTGTTGACCCAAGCACTGTAAATGACAATGGCAAAACAGCCCTGTCGACCCTGAAAAATTCCTCCTTACTAACATCTGGGGGCCAGTGCCAAAACTGGAAGAGCTGTCTCACAGACTAGTCAAGAAATTGCCTGACTCAGTCATACTCATGGAATCATACCTTAGAGACAATGTCCCAGACACAGCCATCACCATCTCAACAGAGGTTGAGTCTTCAACCTGGGAGTCTTCAACATTGACTCCAGACACCATGAAGTCTCAGGCATTAGGTCAAACATAGGCAAAGAAACCTCCTGCTGATTACCATGGCGATTAATATCATAATCTGTGCTCCTTCATGTTGAAAACCACTTGGAGGAAGCACTGATGGTGGCAAAGGCACAGAATGTACTCTGGGATGGGGAATTCGATGTGCACCACACTTGTAGCAACAATTCTGGTCTGACTGGTTGGGTCCTAAAGGACATTGCTGCTAGAATGGGTCTGTGGCAGGTGGCGAGGGAACCAACAAGAGGGAAAAACAGACCTGATCTCATCCTTAACAATCTGCCAGCTGCAGACACATATGTCCATGACAGCATTGCTAAGTGTAACCACTGCACAGTCCTTGTGGAGACAAAGCCTTGCTTACATGTTGACAATACCTTCCATTGTGTTGTGTGGCACTGTCACTGTGCTAAATGGGACAGACTTTAAACAGATCTAGCAACTTAACACTGAGCATCCATGAGGCAGGTCATTAGCAGCTGCAGAATTGTACTCCAACACGATCTGCAACCTCATGGCCTAGCATATCCCCCACTCAACCATCACCATCAACTGGGGATCAAAACAGAAATTGCTGGAGAAACTCAGCAGGTCTCGCAGCATCTGTGGAGACTTAAAGCTTTGGGTCCAGTCACCAGCTTTAGTGATTTCAATTAATAAACACAGTGTCCATGATGAATTTGCCATCTCTGACATCCATGCAAATTTTGGTCAACCAAAATCTCCCTGAAGCTTTATTGGACTTCCTTCTCACACGTTTTAACTTCAGCCTTCAGGACACCCGAGTTGTTACCTGCGTTCTTGACGGATATGGTGCTGGACGCTCAAAATAGAACGCTCTTTTGCAGGCTGCCCTTCAAAGGATCCACTCAACATTCGCTGCCGAGTGCAGGCCCTGCGGAAACCAAATGAAATAGACACGAATATATTACCAATGACTTCTCAATTGTGTTCTCTTGGCAACAGTAGATCAGAATAATCCATTTTTAAACGCAAAAAAAACGGAGATACTGATTTGGGTGCAAATTGCATTGGTTTTGAGAAGCTTATGACTTTTTCCATATAATCTACTGTGCAAATTCATTTACACATCATCAAAGTCACATTCTTCCATGATTGTGGTGCAACTACATTTTCAGAGATTTTGCTTCAGAAAGTATTCCTTGATATATTTAAGACCGGTAACTTGGCAAAGTTTGATGAATACAGCAGCAAACATGGGATTGCAAAAACGAAGAATTTTAAATCTCAGCATCAATCCAGCATCTGAAAGTAATCCAATTTGAAACATTCAAAATTTTTCAATGAACGTTACTGAACTCCAAAGATCCAGCTTCATTGTTTGAAACTTATTGGGTGGTCCACAATAGAAACTCATGCCAATTAACTCACCCTGGGGGTCTGATCAATCTCGTGTTTAAGGCCCACTTCTAGCACAACTTTAAGCCACAAAAGATCAAGGTGAATGCATGTTGTGCTTAAATTTTAGTGATCTTTTGTGCTGATATCGGAGAGATTACACTTAATAAAAACAGCCCAATGGAGTGGAAAGTCTCATACCTAATTAGTACAATTTTATTGCACATGAGTTTCTGTACAGGAGTACTATCAACCAGTTTGATTTTTACACTGTAAGTTGAAATATTAATCCTTAGTAAACAGCTCAAATGAAATTCAATCATATTAGAATGAAAACCAAACTGGCCTGTTGTGTTCCTCCAGCTCCACGCTGTATTGTCTCTGACTCTAACATCTGCCGTTCTTGCTAGCTCTGAGTTTTATTAATGTGTGTGCAAGCGATGAATATGCTTTGTTTTCATTGATTTGATAGAACACTTATTCAGCAGCTGTAGTAATTTCACACTTCATGTTCCCTGTTTACGTCCAACATAGCATCCCTTACATTGAAAACATTCCGAGGTTCTGTTAATAGTAAGGAAAGGGGTAGTTTTGAATGATTTGTGCTCGTGTAGGTTTTCCACAGCCGACAGTGGGTGTCATTCAACTTTTCTGGTTCTGGTGGTCTGGCTTTTGACCACTATCAGTTGTTAACTGGTAAAAATCCCATGCAATAGCTCATGCACTAAGAACACTTCTTTTTTTCTGATATGAGCTTGTTTGCAGAATTATTCACAGAGCAATTTTGCAATGAGAGAGGAAGATTACGTGCAGGTAAAATTCAAAGTGACGGAAACAACGAGTGTGGACAGTCCTCTTGTGGAACGGATCAAGAAAATTTCAAACATTATATAAATGCAAGTTGCTGTTATTGACAGGAATCTGCACCACAAGGTACTGTTAAAAGAAAATTGGTGCTTAGAATTTTAATTACTGCATAAACTACTCTCTCGAAAAGCATTTTGAGTGTTTCAATATATTAAGATGCTGTGAAGCTGAAATGTTGTCATGATCCAAGGGTGATTTTCCCCGTATAAATATTTAAACAGCACAATTCCATTGTTAAATGGTCATCTCAGAAGGTGCAACATTGAGGTAAGTAAACTTGTAACATTCTTAATATTACATAGAGGTAATAAATATACACTTAAATTATTTCTAGCATGATAAATCTTACCTGAAGATTTTATTTACTGCATTTTCCTTTTCAAGAAGATTCCGGGCACAGATGCTGGAAACTGATCGCCGCAACTGCAAATAACCATGGATACGAGAGGGAAGTTCAACTGGAAATTTCCTGGAAGTCTAGGAGATAGTTCATGTGGTTTGATCTTATTGCAATTAATGAGAGTACCACAAGGGCCTAGGCTTCTTTCAATAAATAGCCATTTATCTAAATATGGGTAGCACCTTCTTTCACTGAGACTTCCTGTGGAGGAGGGTCTAAAAGTGGGAGGTACTTCTAGTTGGGGGTGGGGTGGATTGATTCACACAATACGTGAGTAAAGATGTCAAATTTTACGAGCACTGGGCGGGAAGTTCAGATCCCTCACGAGAATCCGAATTTAAAAGGTACGTGAACAGCACTTCATTCTCTGCACAGCACCCCACTCACCTCTGGAAACGTCAGAGACCAGACATAAAGCAGCACCATGCTTTTTGCAACCCGAACCTAGGTTTTCTCCTGAAGTCTGTCCAGGACAGAAAGGTACTTTTTTTCCCTAAGGATGATAAGTAGAGGCCATTCCAACTGAATGGGGAGGCCACTGCCCATGAGTGATTGAGAGAGACAGCAGGAACTGCAGATGCTGGACAATCTGAGACAACAAGGTGTAGAGCTGGATGACCACAGCAGGCCAAGCAGCATCAGAGGAGCAGGAAAGCTGACGTTTCGGGCCTAGACCCTTCTTTAGAAATAGGGGAGGGGAAGGGGTTTCTGAAATAAATAGGGAGAAAGGGGGAGGCGGATAGAAGATGGATAGAGGAGAAGATAGGTGGAGAGGAGACAGACAGGTCAAAGAGGCGGGAATGGAGCCAGTAAAGGTGAGTGTAGGTGGGGAAGTAGGGAGGAGATAGGTCAGTCCAGGGAGGACAGACAGGTCAAGGGGGCGGGATGAG